ACGTATGTGGTCGTCATGTGAAGTAAGAAAGCAAGAATGGAAGCAAATTTTTAAAGAAATAAGTGAAATAACTGGATTAAATATTCAAATGTCCCTGTCAGTGGCTTTATTGAATTTGTTTAAGAAGGCTCAATTGTTGAAAGAAAATAAGGACTTATAGTAATAATGATTACGGCAGCAAGGTTAATTTCTGCAAGAAACTGGAAAAATGATAACCAATTCAATTTAGAAGAATGGTATAGAGAACTATGGGATATGGCAATTAATGATAAACTGACACAAGGTATGAAAATAAGAAGAGGCCTATCAAAAATAATGGTTTTAAGAAAATGTGGAGTGTATTCTTGCAATATGTTTTTTGGAGAGGGAAGGGGTATATACTAGGGAAGAAACAATGAAGTTTTGGAGAGAAAATGGACCGAATGAAATTTAAAGTATTATTAATGCTAGACCTGAGGGTGATGGTGGCACTTGTGTATTATGTAATGCATTTTATTATGGTGTTAGTGATGGTGGCACTGGTGTATTATGTAACTGCATTTTGTTATGGTGTTAGGTTTATATCAGATGTTTGTTTAATAAATTTATAAAAAAATAAAATAAAGCAATAGTGGTCTGGGGGCTCCCATGCATAACATTACACTCAGAGACTCTCAAACTATACAACGCTGGAGTGATTGGTATGGAAGTGGGTTATGGATGATCTCAGCTGCTCCTCCAAGTTAATTTATATGCAATTCTACACATTGTGAAACTGTATAAAGCAAAAAGGATATTTAGCATGAAATGTAGCATCTGCAGAAGCCCAGTATTCACAAAATTTCTAGTCCCTATGGCCTGAGAAAATCAACTTGCTATGACCCTGGGAGCATGTCAGCTTGGGAACTCTGGTAGGATTGCTGGGTGGAATTTTAGCTCCTTGCTTAGTGTCTTTCCTCCCATTACAAGGAAAAGATATGTAGACCTGCTTAATTTGTATAAATTGTTCATATAAACAAAATCTAAACTAATGTTCTTTGAGAGTTTGGACTTTGTGTTGGCATAATGTAGATTCAGATGTGCTTACATATTAACCTTTGGATGTAACAGCCTGTTTGTGCAACACACTGGAAGCTGTGTCCTCCCTCTGGAAGGGTTATGGCTCTAGATTTCAGGACACGGTTAAAGAGAAGAGTACCTGGCCTTGATTGAATGGAACTATTCAGTTGTGCCTTCCTTTTCAGGAGCCATCTCTCTACACAGTAAAAGCCATCCTGATCTTGGACAATGATGGGGACCGCCTGTTTGCCAAGGTAGACTTTCTTAGGATCAAAAAGATTAAAAGACTTTAAGGCAGAAGATGATTTGTAGCTAAGGCTTGAGCCACATCCGACTTCTTCATCCTTACATTAAAAACATGATTTTTTTTTGCCTCTGGGGAAGAAGGGGTGAATTGTCACTCCTACAAGCTTCCAGGAGCAGCAGTTCTCATTTTAAATTGGTCATAGAGCAGCCTTGTACTTCCTAACACCCCAAAATACTTTTTTCCCAAGGCTGGAAAGTTTGCTAACTAGATTTGTTCCCCCCCCACCTGCATTTTTGGCAGTCTTTGTGGCCTCTGGGGGCAAAAAAAAGTATCCTCTGAATGCTCCATAGTTGTCGATCGCTGATATGCTGATCCTCAAGAGATCCAGATTGTCCAGTTGTGCCTGTAAAAGCAGCCCAAGTCCAATCTTAACTATTGCCAGCAGGTGTCTGTTTTGTATTCAAATATTGCTGTTGTCGTGGAAAGTGTGTTGTTTCATCCAGGCTTCATTCATTCATTCATTCATTCATTCATTCATTCATTCATTCATTCATTCATTCACACGAGCCCCCTTTCAGATCTCTGCATGCTTGGTAGCTTTGTATCTACAGACTGGTTGACTGCAACTTATGTCTGCTGAAGACCCCAAGGCTGGAAAGTTTGCTAACTAGATTTGTTCCCCCCCCCCACCTGCATTTTTGGCAGTCTTTGTGGCTCCTGGGGGCAAAAAAAGGTATCCTCTGAATGCTCCATAGTTGTCGATCACTGATATGCTGATCCTCAAGAGATCCAGATTGTCCAGTTGTGCCTGTAAAAGCAGCCGAAGTCCAATCTTAACTACTGCCAACAGGTGTCTATGTTTTGTATTCAAATATTGCTGTTGTCATGGAAAGTGTGTTGTTTCATCCAAGCTCCATTCATTCATTCATTCACACGAGCCCCCTTTCAGATCTCTGCATGCTTGGTAGCTTTGTATCTACAGACTGGTTGACTGCAACTTATGTCTGTTGAAGACTTTTCAGTACACTACTTTTCAGAGTAGACCTTTGGTCTAGATAGGCAGGATAGAAATCAAATAAATCAATAAAATACATCATTTCTTCACAATGTTATCAAGCTCACTTTGGGACTTGCTGGCTTGAAGGGAGGGGCTATTGGGACGGGGTGTATTCCTCTCCCCATAGCCCTCAGCTAAACTGGTCTGATTCACTAGAATGTGCATGGGGCCTGCCTCTGCCTCCTGTGCCTCATCCCTGTGAAATGGACAAGGCATGTAACCTGCACTTTAATTTTTTGGTGAGATTTATGTTGA